TCAGTTAAGCTCAATCGTACCACATAATAATAAAAACGTTAATTTGTATCGGTTAGAAATAATACCAATATTTTTAATTTTTAGGTTATTTAGTACCATACATTTTGATCGTATACATACATGATATATTATGGAACGCTTATAAATATATGGATATACTAGTCCCCCCTTAAATTTTTTCCCGCTTAAACTCTGTATCATACACTTAAAGTTTAAACGGATAACACGAGATGTGGTGATAAGTAATTTCAACGAGAAAATAATGCTGTGATATTATTAGCTGGTTAAACTAATTATATTTATATTGTAATTGTATATCAATTCATTTATAATATACGATAAGAAATTTTGTACCTATGATTTATTAAATTTTAAAAACATTAAAAATGAGCACACGAATTCATGCCATCGTTATTTATTACGGTTCTTTAGTGAACCGTTTTCTCCTCTTTCTCTTTTTATACTGTGTATTATTATTGTGAAGACCAAAATTAAATGTTTGTATTACATTATGCTTTTCTAATGTTCCAACGTTAAAAAGTTTGGTTTACGATCGATTTCAATTATAATTTTTATAACATTTTTTGTTGCTTGAAATCATAACTACCATCAGGTGATGGTCTATGACGAAAACGTAACTCTGGAAGCGACGCAGTGTATCGCTCGGGATTTCCCGACATTATTAAAAACACGTGTTTTAACTATCCACAACTTGTTTATTTTGTTGTCCACATACGTATGTGTATCTCAAGATTTTCGTTATCGCGTTTCGTCCGACACCTTTAATGTACCTACTGGTCACTGGTATGATGTGGTGGGGATGTGTGTGTGTCGTGTGTGTGTCGCGCGCTTGTTTTGTCGTCCATGTATTAAATTGTACGACATCGTTACATCCATGTAATTCAGAGAACTGACTAAAGTGCCTATAGGGCTATAGTTGGGATTTAATATTCAGGACATTACTGAAGGCGGCCCTATTCCATGCGTTTGAATATTTACATGAATATTATTTTGAACAAATTTTATAATCGAAACGATTTTCATAAAACCTCAGAACGACTATCGCCGATCAAACTAAGCCGGAATGATTCCAATAAGACTTGTTGATTGAAATTTTGTGTTTTATTAAACATAGTTTAATTTATCTGCGCGTACGGAAACACAATCTTACAATATTGAATTTAATTTTCGAGCATTTCTAACAATTATCGTTATTTGGGCTCTTTTGTGGTTTTCTGGTTAATATTATTACGCCCATAATAATACATCGTTCTTAATGCAAGTAGAGGTGTCCTGTTTATATCCTTATTTTTCACAATGTGGTAACTTGACTCAATACAAATACATTTATACTGTGTGTGTTCGTGTGCGTGTGCACCATAAAAAGAATTGTATTTTATTGCGAGGTTAATTCGACACAATATTGTTATTGTATCGTCAGACTTATACTATGACATTCTTATACTTCAATGAACGCTGCTTCTTCAAAACGTTTGATTATTTTCAACCGTTCGTTGAAAAAAAAATCGTCCAAATGTTTAAATACAACGTTACCACGTTCACCCCTACTCCTCTCAACGCCACACACGTGTTTGTGTGTTTACCATGAACCAAAATATAATAATATAACACGATATGAGAAACTGTAGATCGTTTTCGCGCCAAATTCGTCGGAAGAATCGAGCCGATCAACAGACTGCTTGCTGGGTCAGCAGTTGTGTCAAACGCGGTTTATTTATCCATTAGTATACGTTGTTTGAATCCCCTTGGGTAGTACTCCATTTTGTTGATAATTGCTTATTAGGATTTTGTTTAAAATACATACATCAACATTCTAAAAAAAAATCTGTTCATAATTTTAAAGATATTTTAATTGCTATTAGTTATACAAAAGGTTGAACTTGGTTTTTCCAAAAAAAATCTTATATTATACTATTAATTATGCATAACTATAAATATGTATAATAAATTAATGTATATGCGGGGCTCGTCGACTTGCAAACTATTGCACCCATTGACATCAAATTTCTCACACAATATATTCCTTGATACTATCCAGTGATATTTTGAATACGTTGTGGGCAATTGTTTATCTCGGTCAATAGTTCTCAGAACGATTTCCACACTTACACGTATATTATTGCCGTATTTTTGTATTGTTAATATATTCCCGAAAGAAGTATGATCATTTGGTGGTTATATGAATATTGAATAGTATTAAATAATAATAACATTATATTTATTAATATTAAATAACATTTTTTATAACTGTTATTATTACCGACTCCCCATACATTTACACATTGTATTTTTGTATTTTAAGTTACCCTAAGTAAAACATTTTTGTACATATAGTACATCATGTATTCATTACTACGTTGATGCATGAATCGACCAAATCGGGACATAACACCATTATCTAATTAGATTTTTATTCCCGATTATTTGTTACCGTGATGATTTTTTCGTAACATTTTTTTTTTCAATATGATAAGAAAATAAATTAGAATAACCAGTTAAAAACCACTTATCAAATTAATGACTGTTCCGCATGAATCATTGATATACTTTTATATTAATTAATAGCTTTTTAAAGTTATACTTTTCTTACTGTCTTCCTTGATTTGATTTTATTCTTGAATGGCATTCCATAATATAAAATAAACACAATATCATTTATATCCGTCCCACTAACCTAAATTGTATTAGAAAATCATTCATAGGTAATTTAAAAATACTGAAATATTTTTATAATCATAAATACATTATAATAATAATAATTATTAAATTTATAAATTTGAAAACAATCCTTACATTATATTATTTTATTTTCATTATGAACTTACCTACCTCGTATTTTTTTTTATATTCATCTACTTAACACATTTATCAAAATCGTAAATAAAAGTTTTATTAGTCTATTATAATTTTAGTTTTTATTATTATGGATGGTATTAATAGTATTAAAAGGCAGTAATCAAACATTTTTTGAAGCGTTATCAGTTAATCGGTAACCTGTATTCTTGAATATATTACCTACCTAGAATTAGTTACCGCCGTACCAATATAATATAATATTATAAGTATATTATACTTTTTTCTCAGTTGTCGCAGTTTCATAATCGGTTCAAATACTGATGTTTCTTAAAACGTTCAAAACAAAATATAGATTTATGTTAAACTTTTTTTTTTATTGTAAGTATACATAATTTGTGAGGGATTTTGAATTGAGTTTTTAAGCTTTTTGTCCGAGCATATAAATTGTTTTATTGATATTTAAAAGGAAAATACTAAACATAATTAAAAACTCTGAATGTCTAATAATTGTCTATAAATAGTTCGTATTGTTTTTAATTTACAGCAAAATCCACAGTCGAAATTAAAAAAATTTTGGTTGTCCTAATTTTTTAACTTTTAACCAAACACAAAATCTAAGATATTGAAAAATCAGTATATTCAATAATGCATTCATCACTCCGCTTAGTATCTAAAATGACATTTTTTTCGTCAGTTTTACTATATTTTGATAATATTTTCACTGGATTATGCCGTCTTGTTATAACTATATAGGATTTTTCTATTTTTAAATTTGTTTAATTTGTATCTGTAGTAATTAAAGGTCTTTGTGTTAATTATAATATTGTATTATCTAAGTATGCTATGATAAATTCGAGTGCTAATTTTTATTTAAAATCTATGTTTATCATAATAAAATTGTATTCTCATTGAAACTCCATTTGTAAAATGTAAAATAAAAAAACTATAAACCTTTGCTGTAATATAACTAAACTCTAAAGGGTAAAAATTAGTATATTTTAATTTTTGTTTTGTATTGTAATAATATTTGTATACCTACATAATATTATTATATTAATTATTGCATTATGTGTATACATATTATTATTATTAAATTAGTCTTTTATCACTAGGTTTATTATTATTATTTTTTATGTAGTTAGCAAATTAGTAGTTGTAATTTTTTAATACTAAGAAAAAGCTTTAAAACAGTAGTGTATTCCTAAGTAGATGTAGATTATAAATTTTATCTAGTTAGTATTTGAAAATGTACATAGAACAAAACTTAAGCTCTTTTTTTTTATTCTTATATTATAACAAAACTTATTATTAGTATTAGTATTGTTTTTTTGTGAGTAATTAAAAATAAAAAAAATTCTATCTGACTTGTTGGGTGAAAGCAACATGCGATCAAGTAGACTAATCCAATATTAATTTGATTATAAAATTCTATTCTTTAAAAAGTTTTACAAATCTAGGCATATCTAATTCATATTGTACTCTCATAAAGTTTTAATACAGTTTTCAAAAATCTTACTGTTTTCTTTTACTTTGTCTTGGAGTGTCCTAAATTTCAAGTAGAAATGGAATATTTGAAAAACTAAAATTATTAGTTATGAATTATAAGTCTATACTAGTATTGTTATCTATATCAGCATTTCTCGACTTTTTTACAGTGGCGACCCCCTTTTTGAATTTCCATTTTTTTAGTGATCACTTACTACATATATTTTTTTTGTATACTCGCCTAGATTATTATTAATTATTATAATAGTACTGTACACAATACAGTGTTTTATATTTATTGATTTTATTTTTTCATTATTTTATTATTTGAGCTTTAAATTTTTTTTTTTTTAGTATTTGAATTTTAAATCATATGTTAGTAACTCTAATTAATAAGTTGACGACCCCCAGGTTGAGAAAAACTGATCTATACCATAATTAATCACAATTACAAGCTTTAAAAATGTATGTTCATATTTTATTAAGATCACTATTTTTTTTTCATATATATAATATAATTTCTAAAGTATAATACTTAGACATTATATTATTAATTGATTTTCAGTAAGGGAGTAGATTTAAGCAAAATGATTAAAAATTATATATGATAAGAATATTTTTTAAATTACATACTTAAATAATTCCACATTTTTTAGCCTTTTTATAAAGCCAAATATAATTTTATGGTTAAATTACAGGGATAAGTGTTAAAGATGAACAAGATGATCCTGAAATCGATGCAATGGCTCTGAAAATGAAAGAGAATTATCAAAAAAGTGCTTCAGCCGCAGCAAAACAGCAGAGTGCTTCTCCGGCCAATGTTTATATAAACAGAGCTGGTAGGCCAGTTCCTGTGGCTAATGCACCGATTCCGCAAAAAGCTATTCAAGAAAAATTACCCAAAGATTGTGAAGACGTAATTAGCGTCAGAGGTAAGCAATCAGAAAATACATGGTTTGAAATTTCTTATAAGGATATTTCATAATAAATGTTATTTTGTGCAATATAGGTAAATTTTCCTGGAAACTAATTGCAGGCTACCATGTACCATACATTATTCGTTTAATTAATGGTGAAGAAATGAAGTATGTATCCGTACGGATGGCTGAAACTCAGCTTCTTAGCAACTATTTACATTATTTACATGCAGATATTTATACATGTACATCAGTGAGAAGTCACTTTATTACTGAATGTGAAGCAAAGTTATTAAATGAGATTAATCAAAAACATACTGATTATATTTACGGAAAAGAAATATTTCTTCCTGGCAAAGATTATATTGTGCGCTTAGAAGATGTTCACGAGTTTTATACTTTCATAGAAGTATGTTATAAAAAATTGCTGTGCAATATTACTCCTGGTCGCAAAGAAAAATGTGGTTTTATTCGTATTAACTCTGAATCTGTTGTACCATACTGCATTAAAGATAATCAAAAATATGTTCCGCTATTCTACTTTGAAGGTGAAACCGAAAACTTAAAGCATCGTGCTGTAAAACTTGAAAATTGGAATTTGGCCTATCTTAAGTTTTGTTGTAAAGTTCAGGGTATCAGAAATGAGTTATTTGCTAGTGACTCTTGTACAGTGACTAGTCTCGATGACATTAAGAATTACTTTCCACCTGAAACAAATTTTGAGGAGTATTGGCCAGCTAAAGTGGTTGATACACAACTCCTTACAAATCAAAAATCTACCCATGTTAATCCACCAGGTTCCTGGATCAGAGCCCCCCCTGAATTACCTCCTACTGAAAATACTATTCCACACTCTATGACAACACCAGGATCAGTGATGCCACAGAATATGCCAGTAATGATGAACACTTACCAAAACGGATGGCCTCCAAATCAAATGGTATGTATTATTATACACAGTTTATTAAATTGCTTTTGCATTTCTGGTTCTTATGAAAAAAAATTGTTGCTTGTGTGTGTTTTACACAATTCATATTAGGTATGTATCAATAATTTTTTTATGCTTAAATTTTTTTTTAGTGTTACTTAATATTTATTATTTATTAAAAAATGGGTCTATAAATTAATAGGTTTATTAGTTAAACATTTTGTACTTAACAAAGTAATGATATTATTATAAACGGAAAAAAATCATTTAAAGGTTTTAATTTTTACTCGCATTTTTGTTTTTATTAGTTTTTTTTTATTTTATTTTTCTTATACTATAAATAGTGGTGGTGTCGAGCATGTATATTTCGTATAAACCATTTTTTTTTCTATAATATTATGTCATCCTAGATTCACAATAAACAACTAATGTTTTTGTAGGTTAATTCATATAGCACTCCGGCTCAATTCTCACAAACAACACGTGGCTATTCTATTGCGTCCAGAAATCAAAGTATAGCTGCCCAATGCTATAATGCGGTACTTATTTTTAAACTTTCTTAATTTTTTTCCTTCTCATTTCTTATATAGTAATACTCGACTAATTATCTGTAGTTCAAAGCTCCACTCTGAAACTTTCTAAATTTTTACAATCTAATTACTACTATTCCTCAGTTGGTAATTTCAGTAATTCATTACATGGTTTAATTATATTAAAAAACTTACATTTTATTGTATACTTAGAGTAGTATGCTGGTATATTAATGAATAATAATTTTAAAATAAAGTAAATAGTGTTTTTTCATTTGTGTTGAAATTATTTTTAAATAACTTTTGGCTAGCTGTTAAAATTTGAAATTATTGTATAATCTAATATTATTTGATGCTTCATTAAAGTTAATTTCAAATAACAAAAAATATATGGACTACTGATTTTTGCATTATGTGTGATACTAATTTTAAAAGTTTGTATTTAATTGTAGGTTTTATTTTTAAAACTATATTATCATTATGTTGTGGGCTATATATACATAATTTTTAGTAAATCAACAGTTTTTAATTTTGTGTTTTCATTGGATTTTTAGGGTTCAACAATGTCTCAAGGTAATAATTCAATGAATGGTGTGAGTCACAGTGTAGCACCACCACCCCCACCTCTAGTTCGTGGAAATAATACAGCACCAGTAATAGGGTAAGTGTTTTCAAAATAATTAAATTTTTAAATATCTTACAAAATATAACAACAATATTTTTGCTTTTAGTAATAATGTGTCATATTCCAACGTGCCTAATAGCCAATGTATGACAACCATGTATAATGCAATGGCTAATAGCAATGTGATGTCGCATTCAAATTCAATGCGACAATTCTATAGTCAACGTGGTGCTATTAACAATAGTCAAGCCCAACAACAGCAGCAACAACAACAACAACAACAACAAATACTTACTACTCCTCAAACTCAGCAGCCATATAATGGCCAACCGACTCATGGTCGTATAACCAACACTCAACAGCGCAATGCTTTAAGGAGTATTGCGCCAATTGCAACTACTCCAGCTACTGAAATCATTGACTTATCGTCTCCACCATCTAGTCCTGTGCCTCCAGCTGTACAACAAGAGACTTCTCTCCGCCCTAACGTTGGATGGGAATTAACGAGAATACCCGAACGGTCATGGGCACATGACTCATCAAATAATGCTGCATACAAGGTAAATAATAATTTTTATTTTTTAATATTGTTAGATTGACTTAAGTTGTAGGATCTAGAGTAAAAAAAATAATATTTTTCAAACATTATGAAGTAAAAATTCTTTATTCAAGATATCTTTTTTACATTGGATAACTTTATGAGTGTTTGTATATTTAAACAAAATAGATAAATGGGTACCATTTTTCTATAAATTAGGTGTCGATTGGCATATTTTTATGGATGTTTTCCATTTAAATTATTTAAATAAAAACTTTTATGATATTATATCATTGCCTCATTGTATATGAAAAACAATTCTTATCAGTCAGGTTATGTACTATAAATATCTTTAAATATCTATAAGAATAACTTATTTAGGATCTTGTGCTACATTTTCATGCTTTTTGACCAAGCAAAAACTTTTATCTGCATTTTTAGAAATAAAACTAAAAAAATAATTCTCTCAGAATCTAAATAATTATATTTTTATTTACAAAATTAGCATGTGCATCAACTTCAGCCAATTTTGTAAGTGTAGATAATTTGATAATATTCATTAAATAAATATTAAGATAGAAATATGGCTTGAACTTTAAACTAATAATATTATAATTTTATTTACTTCGTTTCACATATATGAAACATTGATTATAAACCTTGTGTAGTTTTTTTTTGTAAATTAAATGTGTGTTCCATATTTATACTTAAATAATAAAGTTATTCCTTAAACTCAATATTTATGGAATATTTTTAAAATTCTTACAATTGTTTTAATATTTGTTATTTGATTAATTGCAATAGAACAATAAATAACAGGCCCACAAGTTTTTAAATTGAATGCAGAAGTACTATTAAAAAAAAAACTTTTATTTAGACATATTTAATATATAAAATATGATATATATTTAAATTATTATAATCTGTATATTTCGTACTTTTTAACATAGATCCAAAAGGCAACACTCCATGGAAGAATGATTCACTGCATAAACGCTAAACCTTATATCTATTCAGATTTAATGGTGACCTTGGATGACCTAGTCCAAATGGTGTTGCCTTCGTGCACTGTCCCAAGATGCGCGCACGTTTTGCACAAATACTTAAAAACGACACTATTCAGTGGAAATTCGTAAGTGTCTTGGAAAGATAATTTTTCTTTTAAAATTTCTCCTGCAGTTTATCTAATACTGAATGAAATCAGTTGACGCATAATTTATTAACTGTATTGTTTGTTTGACAGTGAACAGTTGGCCGTGTTGCGGGAAAACGGACGCCTCAGATCGATGTACCCGGATGACACACCCATGGCCATGCTTCAAGATATCACCCACGTGTTGCCGCAGTTAAAAACATTAGTATCCAAGCAAGACGAACAAATTCAACAATACCAATCTGCGAGCGGACCGTCCAAGAGACAGCGCACCAGCTAGGAATGGGCCGGGCACGGCGGAAGCCGACCCGACTGGCCGAAGCCGGCAGCGGGTAGTAGCAGCAGCAGCAGCGGTGGTGGTGGTGGCGGTGGCAGTGGCGTAGGCGGTGGTGGTGGTGGTGGTGGTGCAATTTCCACCCCTGCAGCCGCAACTGGTTGGTATTCACCGACCGCAGCCGATAGTAATGATTGGCTTAACGCCGGTGCTGGTCCGTCGCAATCGCCGCACCCGCATCATCCACCACCTCCATACCCTCTGATGCAAAACTCTTATCAGAGCCGAAGCAATTGGCCCCCGCCCCCGCCCTACATGTAAGAACTACCACCACAACTAAGCAGCATAGGTAATCTGTAAGTCAACGAAATGTACATTGGTCGTCATTCCCTACCACCTATTTAACATTTTATGCTCTCGTTGTTCACATATTGTATTTTCATTGCTTGTAATAAATTGTTATTAATTAAATTCCTGTTCAATTGAGATTATGTTTTTGACTCGACCGACGACGAGATTCTAATTCTGAAAATCATTATATCATATTATGCTTGGGTGTTTTGTTCCTATAAATAGTATGTGTACAAACATGTACAAACAAAAATAATATTTATCAACACGATTTTGTTTCGTGTATTATTAACTATTATAATATTATTAATATTATATATTTAAATGTTACTATTATTTTGGATCTTTGTCATTCTCCATTATTTCTTTGCATTTATTCAAAGTATTTATTTGAATATTAGTTTTAAATATATTAAACACTTGTAAAATAGTTAATTGATTATGTTTTGTTTATTTTTAACTTTTGTATTGACCAATAAAAAAAATTGGAACTTATTATTTAATTAATGTTGTTTTAATTTGTAGTAATAAAGTTGAAATCTCCATGTATGGTTATGTACTCGTATTATTACAGATTATGTATTTACCTATGGTGAAATATTTTATCACAGATTTTAGCAAAAAGTTAATTTTCCAGAATAAAATTCAATGGTACCGTGAGTAAAGTAAAAACTGTCAAATGGAGTAAGATTGTATGATTATATATACATGTATAACAATAATATACATAAGTTAATTCAAAGTATATATTATCATATATTATGTAGAGGTGTATTTACGATTTTAGCGCTCTTTTTTTCTCCTGTGGTTTACCAAAAAAAAAAAGATCATTAAATTAAAAAAAAGCTTAGCCTAATAATATCTTATTTTTTCTTAATAATATTTTTCTAGCACAACGCCTCCTTTACAATTTGGCGCCCGGGTGCGATGCCCCAGCCCTAAATATGCCCCTGCATATATGTCTGTACAAAAATATTAGATGAAGTCAAGTACTAGTTAAAATAATGAAACTTGATAAATATGATATCATTGCTAGACAACAAATTTTTTTTGTCACTTCCTCTAAGGCTAGGATCACACTATGCGTTTTGTCGGCAACCGAAAAATACTATCCCGATTAACCGCAATCGGGACGATCGATCATACTGTGCGTTTTATCGGTAACCGAATACATACAAATGAGATTAAAAAGCCCGAAAATCGTTTTTAATTTAAATTTAAATTTTAAACTGATTTTTTATTTAAACGAAATGTATCTAGTATTATAAGTAAAAAAATAATAAAAAGGTTGTGTAATTAGAATTATTTGTTTTTATTTAAAACGTGTATCAACTAATTATGCTAATAAATAATAATATACATCTATAATATATATAAAATATAATATATATATATATATGTATATTACAAATATATTTTAAGTTTTTTAATTATTTAAATTTAAAAATGATTATTAATTATTCATAAAATTTTCAATTTCGGTTACCGATAATCCGCACAAATGTGATCGGACAAATTGCATTGCATGTGTTGTGCTTTACATCCCGAAACGCAACCGGACGGTTGGGCCGCAACACGTTGCGGTCGCTTCCCGACGGTTTTTAATCGGTTCCGTAAATCGGTCTAGTCTGGCCCTGATAACGCGTTTTATATTTAAACCTATTTTATTTTAGAGTGTTGCGGTTTGGCTCCGGTTGATCGGGAACCGACAAAACGCATAGTGTGATCCTAGCCTAAAACTGATTTTTTTATTGAAAAACACGACCTATTTCAGAAGTGAATGCATGGAAAGTCCCGTTAAGTAGTGATCGGAATAATTACTGTAAATATATATATATTTACATACCCGATTTTTATCCAAGAACATGAATAACGTATCGATACGTATTAATGTAGTGAACAGTGATGACTATCGTGTTCTATTCATGTCTTCTACTTGAAATGAAGTAATAATAAGAGAATATTATTGTATTCATATGACACATTAATTACCTACTAATTTGTAACTAATACTCTTGAGTTTTGGATAGGTACTAAGGGAATAGGTAATACGTTGTTGGAAAGAAACACTAAATACCTACAAAATATTATTTTTAAAATAAATATTATTTTGTAGCAATGTAGCTACAAATATGTAAGTTATACCCAGAATAAAGAGGAAGAATTAGGCTCTACGTCTCCAGTGGCTAATTAGTGGTTAGGTACCTGCTTATGTTTTGCTGGACACTCGATAGCCGTCACTAATGAGTGATATTAAACACCAGCTGGTATATATGGTTTATATCTGAGTTCTATTGAACCGTTTTATCAATTTAGACACCGAGAACCGCAAAAACAGTTCACTATAGAATAAACCGTAATATATGTATGACAGTGGAACGGCAATTTCAGTTTGGTGCAATTGACCATGCTTATTGTCTTATGTCAATAAATATTAAAAATTAAATCAGTCATAAATTGTTTATTTACCTAGGTTATCGCTCTGCTCGAGCGAGTTGCTGTTAAATTTGAATCCAATGATACCTATATAATTTACGAGTTACGACACATACCATTGTATACCTACGAAAAACAGTTTATCAGCCCGTAGTTTTTAAAGTCATTTATTTTACTTTTAATATTACAGTAGGTTTATAAAAAACTCCGGAAATATTTTTTAATATATTATTAGTATTGAACTGTTATAATATTTATTTACATCTTATTAAAATAATTTATAACTCAAAATTTAATAACATAATTCTGTAAGTATCGTAAAAAACAAAAGTAGATTTATAGTATAAATAGAAAATATCTTAAAATAAATCAAAAATATCATTATGTGTGGTAAAATTATTAATAATATAATTTATATCTTTAATTATCATTCAAATAAATAATTTCAATAATCCAAATTTGAACTTAAAATGCCTAAATAATATATTTATTATATAATATATTGTTTTAGATTTTATGGTAATAGTATGGGATACTTCTTGTATGAGAAATCTTGAATTAAATTTTCAAAACTTAGATGTAATATGAAAAGTTTTTATGAATTACTAACAATAAAATAATTTGCTAGTTTTCACGATTAGTATGAATACTATGAATTTTATTAAAATATTTACTAAAAATATAACAATATGTTTTTCAAATTTTTTTAATCGAAAAATTAACAACTTATGAGGAGCTTTATATTAAATTCTAAATTATTTATACTCGACGAATAATTTTTTAATCGAAATTTTAAAACTAAACTCAAAACAATTATGTAAGTGTGTATACTCATTTGAAAATCATAAGTTAATTTATCAAACAAGAAAGAACTCGAAGAGCTGAAAATATTATAGTTATAAAACGATGTATGTTATATAAATGATAGTATTACTTTAAAATTTTTAAAGATTCCTAAAATTATTGGAACTATTTTCTGATTCATAATAAGAATTATTCTATAGACATAAAGTGAACAATTAGGTGCCACTCAGCACTCTGTAATTGATACCTACTTTGTAGTAGTGTAGGTGTCGAGTTAATAATTTATCTCTTCATTTAACAGGTAATGGATGTGTAAAATTGAAATTTTATAATAAATCAACATAATGCATATGAAACTACGAAAGACAATATTATTTTAAGCGAAGATGTCCTGTCAGCCTATATATTATAGTAAATTACTTAGACTATATTATAATATAAGCTATGATATAATATATTAATTATATTACTATAGTAGTATAATTATAAATAATTTAATACGAAAGGTTGAACTTAATTTTTCCAAAAACTATTCGCATTTCGCATATATCATAAAATGATAAGTTATAACGTTAAAACTTGCAATTATTTTGATCATAAATTATTGTGTTATTAACTTTTGATTCGATACCAACTTTCTGTAGTACAATAACAATACCTAGCTTAAAATTGATCCAAATATTTTGAAAACTATTGTGTATAATACAATACAATAAGACATAAGTAATATATTTATGTAAATTATTTTAAGTCGCACTAATGTAATATTATATTTCATACAAAAATAAAATTGTAGTAATTTTACATTACTTTAATCAATTACAATTGGTTAAAAAATAAATAGTTTAGGTACCACTGAAAAGTATGAATTTATACAAATGCAATCAACGACGTAAATATTCATTATGTTTGCAACGTTTGCGTAGGAGTAAAATTTTTTTTTGGGACGCAACCAAAGGATAGAAAATATCTTGGCGAGTAATAGTTAGGCCAGCTAGGGAATAGGAAGTATAACCTACAATTTGCAAGACCGAAACATTTGTACAAGTGCCAAGCGTTGCACTGGTGCACTGCACTCCCATACAGGAACTATCGGTGATACATACAGTGCCATCGCCAGAGAATGATTTTCTCATAACCAAATTTTGGTGGTGAGTAGATATCTATTCAGTTAAATATGCAATATACTTAAATTATAGCTTGGATTAAATCAGAATTTTCCAATACAGGTATAATCATCTCATGTACAAATAATAATTTTGGATATCGATGTAAGCTGGTTCTTATAAAGATTTAATGTGATATTCTGGATTTTTTTTAGAGTTATAAGCCTCATTTACTGTAATTATTTCTAAAAACAGGTACATTACTACTATTTATGAATTTTAATTCCAATATTATTCGGTGCTATACATATACATAATTTTGTGCAATAAGAAAAATAAATTTTTATTTAAACTTAAAAGTAATTAGTTAAGTTAAAAGTTTAAATTATAAATTAACTTTTTAAACTTTTGAATGCTCAACTTTGTTAATCTTACAACATTGTATAAACGACAAGATAATAAATAGTAAGAAAAATCAACTTTGATAACGGTTTCTTATACTAAATTAAATCTAGTTGTAGTATTGCCAGTATTTTTTTGGTACATTTAAAAAGTCAAAATTATAAATTCCTATTTTTCAAAATAATCGAGAAAAATAAAAATAAAACACAGTCGAATTCGCTTATTACGATGCTGTATATTGTATAACGATATTCCGGGTAAAACGATTCCAAGCGATGTATTTGGTTGATTTTATATTTTATGTGTAGTTACTTTTTATAATCCGGAATCCGGATATAACGAAGTTCGGTTATAACAATCAGATTCTCTAGGTTCCTTAAAGATCGTTGTAAGTAAATTTGACTGTACTGAAAAACTGATGCAAACTACGGACTATTTCCATCAATTGAAAAAACAAATTATCAAATCAGGTCGATTCTACAGGGCGGTATCGTTATTTCTATAAGTTTATTTTCCAGGGCAAAGTGACATCGGCATCGGCGTCTTAAGGAAAAATGTGAATATTTTTGCAAACCCAATTGTTGTCTCGGAACTCGAAGTATATGTTTTTTATTCGTAATAAGTGTCGTGATGTTTCTTT